CTTCCACAGTGTATGTCAAAAACTTGTCAAGAGAAAAAGCTTTCATATTTACTTTTTGAGTCAATTCTATAAAACCAAATATAGTTACCACATATGTCCTCTCATGGCTCGGTCAGTGAAATTAAGCATAATTTGACATTTACAATTAGCTTTCAAGGTGCATCCCAAAAGAGATCAAGTGCACACTTTTTTACTGCCCCAAGACTTGCTCCACTTCCCCTTTTATAAAAGAGCTGTCAGTTAAAGTGAAATGTAGCTGCCCAGCATGACAAGTGAGCTTTGTAGAAACTATTTGCCTCTACACTTTCCTGCCCGTTGCAATTCCTGTACACCTGCATTTTATCTTGGTGACATTATCTCATGTCACATGACATATTCTCAGTTCTCCATATTGGAAAATAGATTATATTACAGCATTTTGCTAAATTATCCAGTCTAATGATGTAGTTTGATGCACTAAAATTTACATTTAAATTTCTCCCAATATGCTACAGTTTCTCAGAATCTAGAGGAGAAAGAAGAAATTGTGTAATAATGACATTTGCTTAATTCTGTACTTTTCTTGTTCATGTCCCTAGACATATTGGTTCTATTAACTATTGTTACTCCTAAGGATATATAACATATAAACTGTATTGTGAAAGAGAATGTTGCTTGTGTTTTACATAGAAACTCAATCCTTGTATATCCTTTTGAGAAGATTATAGGTAATGACAAGAGCACTACAATTTCTGGGTGAGAACAGCATGTCAGGAGGAGGCTAAATACAAGGGTATGAAGAGGGTTGATTGTACTTGGATGCAGTTTAAGTCAGTTGAATTTTTACTTCCTTAATTAAAATATGAAAAAGGTGTTGATGAAAAGCCTAGTGTATTTGTGCAGTTCTTGAATCTTATTACAGAGTTCTTTACTGCTGGGATAGGGACATTTATCAGATAACATGGCAGAAATGTTTGACATAATTCAGTTAAAACTCTAACACTTAACTGTTGTAACTGACTCACAAAAACCTTTTCCTGGATCAGATAGCCAGGCATCTTAAGAAACAAATCAGCTATTACAAATTCTTGGTGTTTAAAGAGAAAGGACATTTTGTTTTAGTGTTTATTACATTTTAAGGCAATTCCCTAAGTATGTTCTAGGGAATACTGAGGTATGCAACATCAGACACACAGCTGAGCAACATAATCATGTAAACATCATATTTGGGACAGTCAGAGTGTTTGAACAGACAATGCAAAAACTTCCCAAATGGAAACTGACAAATAATTATGTGACTCTTCAAAATGAACAAAACACACCTGAGGTGTTTGATTCTACTTCTAGGGCTCCCTTCACATAGTGCCATTGGTTTGATCATTTTCATGTGAAACAATGTCTTTTTGCTTGCTTAAAACAATAAGTTTTCATGATCTTGAGGGAACTAGATGTCAAAACAGAATAAAGCATTTTCTCCTTAGATTAAGCCTGTCTCAATAATTCTTGTATCATATCATATTACTTGATAATTATCTCCCACACAATAGTAAAATTGTCCTGTAAAGGTAGTGACTAATGGCAAGTCAAGATTATACAACTTAATAAGAGGGAATTTTATTAAACAGCTGAATTTCCCTGTGCTTTTTGAAAATGGAAGGCAGTTTACTCTGAGGCATCTGTATTTGTTCTGATATATGCAGGCACCCATATCCTTTTTATAAATCAGATGCATAGTCTTTTAATGCACAGCTAAGAGTGGAGACTATCACTGTCATTTAAGGTCTGATGGGGAAATGGTTAGGCTGAGTCCTGATGTTCTGCAGATTTGCACTTCATGCACTAAAGTACTTTAAGATATGCTTTCCCAAATAGCCACTTTCTCCCATCCCCTGAATTTATATCTTTTTTCAGCCCTGAGTGATATTCTGTTCCTTCTTAGTCTGCTCCCTCAAAGTTTCCCCTAATTTCTACTAATTTGGCTCAAATTCCCTCTGGACTGCCAAAGCAGAGGTGCTCTCCCATACGTACTGAAGAAATGTAGGGGACTAATACAATTCATTTTGAGGGACACACTTCAGAATGAAGACATTGAGGAATACATGGAAAGATAATGAGAACAGATTAGGTGAGAGTGTAGCAGAGTGTGGACAAACACACAGGGTGGTATTAGGTATTAATGGTCCCTTCATGTGCTATGCCAAGAGGGGACTGGGCACCCTAAGCAATTACATGGCAAGATAATGGAGGCAAACTGAACATTTAGAAATGGCTGTTTTTGAGCTTGCCACAGAAAGCTTTGGCAGGAGACTGCCAGTGCCATGAGCATACCATATTCTGTTGCCTTGTACCATGTTTCTTTTGTATCTCTCCTGTCGCTCAAGGGATGGAGAAATGGGGAGGAGGAATTGCAGTCAGCGAAAGAGGAACCAGAGTCATAGAGTTGTGAACAGGGAACTTAAACACAAGCTAGTGAGCATCATCCACCATGTGGTGTTGCACTGGTGGCCAACCACAGCAGAAAAGTTGTGATTTAATGGTTTACAGGCAGCTAAATTATCATTATGCCAGTACTAGGCCATTTGTATTTTGTTTGGGGCAGAAGCATGAAGCTTCCATAACTTATTCTCCTATTCCTTGGAATTGGATCTAAGTCTGCCACTTCTGAGATTGAAAGAACAAAAGGAAGAGGCAGACTGAATTCTGAAGAATGAGATGAGGTAGTAAATCATGGAAGTTTTAACAAATGTAGCTAATTCTATCATTATGTGAAACAAAACAAATGTTGATTCGACTCTAGTTTAGGCTGGGGCAGTCAAAGACAGCTGAACAGAATATTTGAATGAGTAAAAGCAACATTTCTGCTCAGATGCAAATCTGTTGTTGTTTTTAAAACACAGTTTTAACATCAGAATGCTGGCGAAAAGGGTTGATTTTCAGGATTTTTCAAATTACAGCACAGTATATTAAGAGAAATGAGTGGCAATTTATCTGAATATGCAAGGCCATAAACTGAAGCAGTTCAGCAGCTGCTCCACACACAGCTAAACTGTCTTTGTGATGAGAGAGAGACCCTCCTGGAGAAGAGTAAAGTAGACACTCATGGGTAGAAACCATTAAAAAGCATCATTACCTATAAGTAAGCAAGCACTGCTAAAGCAGACAGAACAGTGAGAGTCACTAGCAAGCAGCCTGGCTGGCTGTCTCCCTCCCTTACCTTTTTAGAAATATCAGCTATTTGTTGATTTTAGCTTTTTAAAATGTTGTTTCCTTCCTGATAGTGATGTGATTTGAATTCATTTGCATATTCGATTTTCACCTTGTAGAAGTTTAATTAAGTATATACAATTAATGACTGGCGCCGGCTTCTCCTGTGGAATTTGCAGCAGCAGGACACCTTAAATGCTCCTGGTGCTGCCGCCTTGCCAGACCTGAGGACTCCAGTCTCGGGCACTGTCAAGCCAATGCTGTTTTCCAGTGCTTTGTTTCAGTAGAGAAATGTGGCACATACAAGGGACAACAAAGGCAGCTCCTTTTTTGAAGAACACAAAATAGATTAGGCTGGTCTCAGCTGAAAAGGATGCCATCAATTTAGACAGCAGCCTGCTCTTTCAGCTGAAAACACGGGAAATGGAGCAGCACAAATGGGTGAACTGCTTGATTCTCCAAAATATTTGTGAGATAATTAATCTCTGCTGCTTGCTTTGTTTGATAGGGGACCAGCTTACTGCTCCATTACATGCAGTGATGTCGCTGAAGAAGGTAGGCATTTTCAAATGAGAGAAAAACAGAATTTATTTTCTCTTTAACACAACATTCTTTGTGTGTTGAGAAGTGAAAAAACAAGCTGTCCTTGTGTTCATGGCTCCTCAGCTCTGCAGCACTGGAAGTTTAGGGGCAAAGGAACAGTTGTAAAACAGAAAGCAGGGGCAAAGAAAGCAGTGCCAGACTTTGAGGGAGAAAGTACTACTGTAAATATACCTAATGACTAGGCATAAAAAGAGGTACTAAGTGATTCCTCATGCCCTTGTGAGCTGAAAGCAGCTTGGTGAGAAACCTCAGGGCAATCATTCCCAAGCTTGCTGGAACATCAAGACTCTGGAATAATAGTGTTGGCACCCCTGCTAGAGCACTCCATCCTGGCCTATGGGTGCAGTAGCTTTAAGAGGGCAGTTAAGGAAAATAGTACAACCTCATGACTGAAGGAAGAATAAAACCACAATAATAAATTCAACAGAGGGAGAGTTAGAAAATTGAAACATTTATCAGGACAATTATCTTGCTGTGACAATGGTAGCACTTGCTTGGACATCTTGGTACAAAGCAACTTGGGCCAAAAGCATTAAAACTGCCTTATTCCAATTAGAATAGCAAGTTTCAGCTGAAATGGAGACTGTGACTCCTGGTACATAGGAAAAAAAGACAGAGCTAAAATGACTGGTTTTGAGCCCCTAATTTGAGTCTTTCTTCTGTGTTTGAATTTTTCCTTAAATGGTTAGGAATCATTTCTATCTTATGCCTCCAATAAGATGTTTAAATTCCTCATTTAGTGCTCAGTACATCATTCAAATTCTCCAACTCACAGAGCAGAAAACACTGCTTTTGGATCTTCAGTGGCTTTTATGGAAAGCTTTTTAGCAATTATTTTGTAATCAACTGAATTGTGTATTTATATATCAGCAAAGTATCTTCTAAACACTTTTGTTATAGTATCTAAATATATTTTACTACAGCTTCTAAGCAGTTTCTAAAACCCATTAAAAATTAAAATGGAAAAATTATTTGCCTCTCAGATTTATTTTCTGGGTGATACTGTGTATCCCAGAATTGCCAAGTGTTCCTGCCTTCCGTAGCTCTTACTTGACTTGTATGGCAATGTTGGCTGTGTTAAAACAGGCAAACTTGAACATTTTGCCTTGTCAATCTTACTTGAGATTTGAGTCAGTTATGTTTTGACTGGGTTTAAAAGAAAATATTTCCAAATTTGGGGATTTTTTTACCCTTGATTTCTCACTCCATCTTACCTTGTACATTGCTTCCAGGATTCTTCAAAATGTACCAAGTGTTGGAACAAGACTCCGGAGTCAGCTGCACAAGCATCCCTCAGACTTCTGGAGTGCTGGCCTGTAATGAGCTGATTTGAATCAGTGCCTCTGTGGCAAATTTTGTCTTCAGCCCTGCAAATCCCTGCAGGAGGTTCCAGCACAGGGCCAGCAGTGGGTCCTGGAGTCCCCAGAGGCCACAGACATCCCCATCTCACATCCTGAAACACAGAGGCAGAAGCTGGACCCTGAGACCTGGTGACATCTTTTCATTTGACCTACTACATTTGGGGACAAGTATCTTACATAGACAGCATCTCTGTGAGAGGGCCATTTGAAATTTCATGATTCTGAGTTCTGATCTAAGGAGATCTGGAAAGCTGAGCAGAGTGGATTAACAAGACATTTTCTGATCTGTCACAGCCTAAATGTGTCATTGGCAAAGGACTGGGAGGTGCTCTTTGTGACCTTTGCTTCCAAATGCACCAAAGCCCAGCCTTCCTTTTACCCAGCAGATGGCCAACTGCTCTTGCTAACAGAAAATAAACCTAAGCAGAGGCTTCCTCACTAATGTTTATAGCCCTGCAGATGGACACTTTAAAGGAAAGGCAGTTTTGTTAAAACATAAAACAAAAACCTATGAAACTTTAAATTCAGGACCTGTTATTTTGTGCTCGGCAGTACAGCTCCTTTTTCTTCAGACAAGTATGCTTGAGTAATAAATTACATGCAAGGCCTCTGGGAAATGTAGTGTGTGCTCTAGGGATGTGGGGTAGTTTACTTCTGCTAGGAGAGCCAAAGACTGCAATAACAGACATGGTAGGTTTTGTACCCCTGGAAAAACTTAGAAATATTAATTATAGGATAAAATATAAAAAAACACTTTGAAGTCAATGCAGCTCTATCTGCCCTTCCCTGATGCTGTTCTTTCTCTGAGTGTTCTTTTATTTCTCAAGGACACTGCTGGTTTAGCTGGACCCAGCTGCACACAGTGGTTGCAATTTTCCCTAATGTTTGTGACTTTAGGTGGTCAGGGGCACTCTTAGATGGGAATGTAAAAGTCTAAACTTAAGCTAGCATTTTCTCCAAAGTTCATATTTAGTATTCAGCCAGCAGCTCAGACATGGTACTGCAGCATGTAGTAACTCATCCAGAGGGGACAGGTTCAATTCACATGCTTACAATTATCCCTAATATTTTGTATCCCACCATCAACTTCTGCTGGTGGGTAGTTACCAAAATGGGCCAGCTGATGGATAGGCATCTTCTAGCATCAGTGGAGGTCTCACAGTGACAAAATGAACCAGCTAATGGAAAGCAAACTGGAAATGGAAACAACAAGCTTTCATCCATTCCTAGGACATTATGCAATCTAACATATTATGACAACTGTTGGCAGACACTCAAAAGCTGCAGCATGGGGTGCTTGAGAGACTTGGAGTGACCAGTCACAGGCTCTATCAGCCAACATCTCCAGGAGCTGAGGACACAAAAGGCATCAGTTCTCCTCCCAGACCTGCTTTGTTTGCAGTAGTTTTCCCTCTTCTGCTTTCCCTGTAACGATTACAGCCAGTGCTATTCAGTCACCAGGGAGGTAAATGCACACCCATTAAAGGTTACAGTACAGCAGAGATTACAGAAAACACTTTCCTACCTAATTTTATGTAACTTCTAGCAGTATTTGAGTTACTGTTTTATCATTCCTCATATGTAGCCAATTACCTTTTTCTATCTGAAAATCTCTTGGCTAATAACACAGCAAAGGATATAAAATAAGGAAGTATGACTCTCCACTAGAAAACTATGAAGACTGGCAGGAGTCTTATGGGCAGATAAAGTAAATAAAATAGCATTAACAATCTTCTTAACAAAGCATTCCAGATTTTGAAATGACAAAGCTCTCTTCAATAAGCTTTTTGTGTTACTTAAACACTGTGTTGTGCAAACAGTTTTAACGTTCTCCTGTTACTGAGCAGGAGGTTATGCAACCAGGCTGCAATACACACATTGCTTTTTGAAGACAAGTTCATAAAGCAGTAAAGTATTATAAAAGTATTGTTACAGAAGCAAAAGCTCTTTCAAGTCATTATAACTGCTCATGTCACAAGAAAGGGAGGTTTTTTAAACTCTGTGTCATTGTATATTATGCATTTAAGGCATAAAAAAATGACCTTGGGAGACAGAAGTTCCATTTGCCTCAGACAATAATGGGTGTCACAAGTGTTTGCCTTTCAGAGGTGGCAAATAATACTGTAAGTTTGCATACACAAGTATGTGCACATGGGCTAAGAAATGCCAAACAGGTGGAAAGAAAAATTTGTGGCATGGAAAGCCACTAACTGAGGCAAATGTCTGAGCAGGTAAAGCAGGGAGCACTTCTGTCCCCTACTAATGTTCTCTGCCATTTTACCTTGGCACCTATTACCTTGTTAGGCTTTTACTATTTTCTGCCCTGCCCCAGGTGTCTCTAAGCTTAGTGTTTGATTTTTCACCCTTTTCCCTATCTTGCTCCCTGTGCTTGTTTCAGGCAACAACAACTGTATGGAATAAATCTTTGGGGTTTTATAGAGCCATTTTCAAAATTGTTTGAGAGTACTCCTATGCATTTGCAATAATAAACAACAAAAGAAAGAAGCTAAAACTAATAAAAACATAACAAAAAGGCAGAGTTAAATACTGTTATATACAGTGAAAGCAATTGGAAGTCTGAACATACAAAAAGGCTTCTTTGAATAGCATGTTATGAAGGAATGATGATTTTTAGAGAAGAAGCATGCAGTACTTATTTCATCTACCAAAATGTCATTGGTTTTGTGTTTTGAATCCCGTTTTGAATAAACACTTTGGGACAGAAATGTTAGATTCACTTTCTTCATTTTGTAAGTACATGTCACTTTAGGACCACCTGCAGCGAAGTGCCCAGTCCTCTGGTGAGCACTGGAGCAGATTCAGTGATAGTCTAGTTATGTTCGGACCATGGTTGCTCCAAAGGGAGAGATTCCAGCTAAAAATATGTCTTCACTCTTTTCTATCATACCCCCTTTTGGCAGAAGAGAAGCATTTAGCATAGAACTGCTCAGGGAACTCCACACCAGCTCAGAGGTTGTCTTGCAATAGAGCTATATCTTGGAGTCTGTGTTGGACCTTATTACTGGAAGAGAGAGTGGGTTTGCTGTAGCAGAGTTTTCTCTGTAGCCTTTTTCTTTTTTTTTCTCTTTTTTTCCCCTTTTTTTCCTGGTTTATGCACAAATCACTAATTAAAAGGAATAGATCCTTAGAACAGATGGATTTAGAGTTATCAGTCAGACTTGCTATTTTAATGACTATTCTACATTTTACAAGAAAGAAAAGGAAATTACAGCAAACATCTTTTGACAACCTTGCAGATTCCACTCATATAGCTAACTCCTATTTTGTAAAAATCTCTGCATATACTGTGCATTTTTATATTAGCTAGAACTTCAGGACACAAGATGGCAGTGCACATACTAGTGATTCAGGCTTGGAAATGCTCCTGCTATTCAAACTAAGCATATAACATTTTATTTAAGCCTATATTAATCTGATCATATAATTGTGGTATTAGAAATAAACCTAAAAGTATCTGTCAACAGCAGAAACAAATGCAATTTGCCAATAAATGAGTATTGCATGAACAAGTGTTAGGTAAAGCTTAATTCAAGATTTTATTGTACACAACAACACTCTGGAGACATTAAAAGCCTCTTATGAAACTCCTCAATTGCAATAACAAGAGGGTATCCCTTTATGAAGGAATGGAAGCTGGCTCAGTCGTAAGAGCTTCCGAGCAAAATTGGCTGCTGGGGAGAAGCACATAAGAGAGCTGGCAGCCTGAAATATGTGGAGAGCTCAGGGCTCTCGGAGGAGTAGTGCAGACCACTGAAGTGGAACAAGCTGAACAGTATCTAAAATTGAACAGGTGCCTTTCTGTGGAGAAACTAACAAAGCGGACAACTGTTTGGCATGACAATTGAGAGAAAAAATATTTCCACTGAGAGGCATCAAATTAGGGGATAGGTCTCTGGCTGAGGAGAAAATTGCTTAAAGAACTGTAAGGAGTTGAACCTTTCCATGTGTAACTTAAGAGGAAGTTCATTCAGAGCTTCTCTGGGCACCAGTGGGTAAAGAGAACTGCAGTAACAAGCTTTCAAGGTCAGTACCCAGAAACCTCTTTGGTTTGGTTGAGTTGAATGCTGGAATTAGAAGGTGTAGCTAAAAAGTTTTGGCTGCCTTTCCTATAATTTGGTTCTGCAAACATGGTCTTGGTACATAGTAAAAAGAGCCCTTAGAAAAATAGTAATATTTCAAAGTATAAAATAATCCTCAAAGTCATTATCCCTATGGGATGTCTAATGCTGACAAAATTCTAGACAGTCCTCCTTTCTCCTGAGGAATGTTCAGGTGACTTTGCCTCTCTGTACATAAAGTCATGGTCCTAATGGGCAAGTCAGATTGAGCCAGGAGATCCAAACTCAGCACCAAGGCTCATTATTTCTGGACACAGCTCTTAATTTTACATAGTTATTAGGAATTAGATAATGAAAAAATATATATTTATCTCAAACAGGTGTGATATAACTATTTCCTATTTTTCTCTCCAGAATGGTAATATTTGTTATCGTCTGTTGTACTGCACCATGGAAATCCTCCCATTGTGAGTGGAGATGAGTGTACTGAGCTTGACCAATGTTTTTGACAGAAGGTGGAATTTGGGGAATCCTGGTCCCTGAGTCTACTTTTCTTGTGGACATTATTTATGAGTAAAAGTATCACCATGTTCCCAACTTCTCAATCACAGCAGCTCCAATGAAAAGTAGTCAGATTTTTCATGGTGGGCCACTCCTCTTGTTACAATTGGCCAGTTGCTGTTTGTTGTGGCCTTACGTTCCCACGCATAAATCACTGGGTTAATACTGGGACTTCTTTTCCCTCTCTCTTTCTGTGTTTGCATAAGATTGAATTTGGCATTGATTCAAATAAAATAATTCAGATGCCTGGTATTTTAACTACGGCTGGGTGTGGGTTCATGACTAAAATAAAGTGTATCACCTAGCAGTTTCAGTCATTTGGTCTATTCGTCACAGTAGATTAGAGAAAATGTGGCATGCACAGAATTATGTATGCACTTTTCAACCATCTAAAATGGAGGATAAATTGAACATGTCATGGTTCTAGGAGAGTAATTTATATTGAGTACAAG